ATAAACTATATATGGTCTGTAACACATGGTCATATAGACCTGGTAATACATAAACTGTATATGGTCTGTAACACATGGTCATATAGACCTAGGAATACATAAACTATATATGGTCTGTAACACGTGGTCATATAGACCACGGAATACATAACCTATATATGGTCTGTAACACGTGGTCATATAGACCTGGTAATACATAACCTATAAATGGTCTGTAACACGTGGTCATATAGACCTGGTAATACATAAACTGTATATGGTCTGTAACACATGACAATATGGACTACATAATATGCACGGACAACAAGACATAGTAACTGATAACATAAAACCATTAATTAAACACTAAAAAGGAAGAAGAATTAGTATATTAGTAAAATGCACAGTTATACTTGTTGCACTGTTAATTAAGATAATGAGGATTTATTTCTGATTTGTAAGTTATCTTTAACGGTTTCATTGTCATAGTACAATGTCGGAGGTACTAAGTAGCACTGATTACGGGAAATGATCAGTCTACATTTGCGCTTTATGATGTATGGTATGAAAATAGGTTTTTTCGTCTTTCTTTGGAATCAAATAAGTTACAACTCCATTTTAAATATGACTATAGAATATTTGTTTTTTATTTTTTTAGTTTGAAAGCATAAAAACAGGTTATATTTGTATATGTTTAGTAAACGTGCGTTTTATAGACTAGCAAAATTGGTATTATCTATTATTACGAGAGAAAAGCCAGTGTATACAGAGTGGTAAACGATCATTTCTGGCGCATGCATATATCATTTCATGACATCGTTTATCTGATATGGTTACATGCCTCTTCACCAACTACACAACGAGCTATACACATACACACACATTATTCTAGTTATTTATTCACAAAACAAAGATCCTATAATCTTGGCGCCCACCATCATGAGATCTTGATCACATATACAAAAGAAGATTTTTTACTTTTTTTGCTCCTCATTTGCCTTACAGGTACTATTATCCAGTTCTTTGTCGGAAATCCTAAACAGGAATCTCGTACATTTGCTTAAACCTCTTATTTTCATATGTTATTTGCAACTATGACAAATGCTGTTGGATAAGTATTGCATAACTACAAATTGTATCTCTAAAATGCCAAAATAATTGTAATTCCTACATTATTATAAGTGCTGTCAAAGACGAATGAGTTATCATTAGGGCCAGGGGAGCAAACATATAAAATAGTGACAACAAAATTGAACTTCAAAATTCAAGAAGGCTGTCCGTGACATTTTGGTTTTCTTTTCAATCCTTAAAATCAATTTGCATAGTTCGGGATCATGGGGAACCGTCATGTAAAATTCTGAGTATTTTCTAAAAAAAATCGTCAACAATATATCTAACTCAAAATTCTAGATGGCCGCCTGTTGGCTAGCTTGCTTTTCCAATCAGTCCAAAATTGAATATGCATAACAATAGCTTATTGTGAGCCCTCATATGCAATTTGAGAAAGAACCTTCTAGTATTTTCCGAGATAAAAACATTGCGCAATCTTTAACTCTCAAAATTCAGGATGGCCACCTGTCGGCTATCTTTGTTTTCCACCAGTTGCAAAATTTCATATGCGTAACTGGTGACCATGGGAAACCTTCGTGCGAAATTTTGGAATGATCCCTTTAGTCCTTACTGAGAAATATCGCTAAGAAGAATTGTTTAAGGACGGATGGACAGACCACGAACCACGGATGAAGGGTGATTTGAATAGCCCATCATCTAATGATGGTGGGCTAAATAATTAAGATACACTCGGCATCTCTAACAACGTATAAGAGGCATGCATCACCCGGATCTACAGGCAGCCTACGGCCTCCCAAAATGACGATATGAGTGCATAGAATAGCATACCATCCATCACCTTATGTTAACAGTATTATATCAGACACAAAAAGGCACAACTGCACACAGACTGCCAACACGCGTGTTGTTGCATTGAATGCATACGAACATTGCCTATGAAAACATGAACATGAAAGCACAGGATATTGATACATTTGGAAGCAATAGAAAAAAATCCTTAAACGAGATCTGAATAGTGGTGAAACCATGCGACACTCAGGGAACAAGGTAATGGCCGTGATTATCTCCCCTATTTCCTAACCATCGAAACGGTACTCAAATAATGACTTGAACACAGATGCTTGCCGTTTAGTGTGTGTATGATGATTAACCTGTTCTGACGTCAAAAGGATTGGCAGGAATACATTTTTCTATGCGGATCCGTAATAGTTCATGTATAGATATATAAAGATGGTATCATGATTTGTTCAGATAATAAATTATATCACAAATCATCACACAAAATGAGCAGCGTGAAGTCTTCTAATCTAGTTATGGAGCGCTAATGTTTCTGATCGAAACGACGTAGAAAAGGATACCAGCGGGGAGTGAAATGAAGTTCTCTCAAAAAATAAGTTAAAAACATTTTAGTGTTTGTTGTTTAATGAAATAATCGAAAATGATCCAACTCCGACTGTATTGGCAGTCTGTAAACAGTCAATTCTATAACACTAAGTCACGTGTTGTTGTTTTCTAGTGATCACGTGGTACTCACCATAGTCTTTCAGACGCCGTAACAATGTTCTAAATATAGACATTTAACGTTAGGTGACTTTTATGTCGATAAAGAATGAGATAAATCGACAAAATTGATTAAACAGTTGGTTTCCCTGGCTTCACGAAACAGTTTAACTTAAACCTTTACTTATTCAAATGTGATCATAAAGAATAAGAAGGATCTATTAAGGGGGAGGGGGCTATAAGTGCAATTGACTTTTTTTAGTCGAAATTCAGTTTATCATTTTACACGTTTTTGTTAAATAAAATGGACACGATGTTCACAATAAGTATGAAATTTATATCGTACAGCACTGAATACTTTTTGGATAAAGGCCAAAAGGACATCATGGTCCACAAAGAAAAGTCATGCCTTCTTAAAATTCAGATACGCTTACGCCATACTTCTGGGTTACGTTTGGGAGGAGTTCTTCATGGGTGTGATGCATGTAAGTGGGTGGTACTGCCAATGTAAAGCTGGTGCACGTCATGTAAGTGGGAGGTACTGCAAATGTAAAGCTGGTGCACATCATGTTTGTGGGTGGTACTGCCAATGTAAAGCTGGTGCACGCCATGTAAGTGGGTGGTACTGCCAATGTAAAGCTGGTGCACATCATGTTTGTGGGATGTACTGCCAATGTAAAGCTGGTGCACGTCATGTAAGTGGGTGGTACTCCCAATGTAAAACTGGTGCATGTCATGGAAGTGGGTGGTACTGCCAATGTAAAGCTGATGCACGCCATGTAAGTGGGAGGTACTGCCAATGTAAAGCTGGTGCACTTCATGTAAGTGGGTGGTACTGCCAATGTAAAGCTGGTGCACAGGATGTTTGTTGTTGTGAACACGTTGCGTCCGTGCTGTTGGATATGGGATATGAACGACATCAACACCAGTCTGTCACTGCGAGACCTTCCATATTGTACATTGAAATCATCACAGATGCTTCTGTTGTAGATGATTGAATGATTCCGACGAAGAGGATGCAGTTTCTGCTTCCTATATGGTGGCCTGTCCTCTGTGCATCGTTTGTATGTATCGAAACAGTGTGAATATGCATTGTGTTTATTTCAATTGGGTGAAAGTTAGGGATATAGGACAAATTCTGAAAAACAACAACTTATTTTTGGATTCCAAATAACACAGAAACTTCTTGAGATTTTCCTAGATATCTCGAGTACTTGTAATACGGACACGGAGCTAATAGTATGCAAAATTTTAGCCAAATCGGTGAGGGCCCAAAAAACGGCCTTATAAGCACCCTCCCGTTAAGTTAAGGAACGTTCGTGAAGCCGGAGTCTGGTACCAATAAGTGATATATTAAAAGTGTTTATCGATATAACTTAGTTATCATGTCAGTGAAGATGAGATCGAAAGAACGTGATTTCTACCTCAAGCTTCCTGGTTGCTCTAAAATGTAATAATCCAAAAGATTAAATAGGCTGTACAACCATGGATCAAAATCTTACAACCCTTCATCAAGTTCATACAAACATTAATTGAAAATGTTCATAACATCATTGATCATATTTATATTGCCGTTTACACAGTCTGCAATCTTCTCATTAAGTTCATGCAACAATTGAGCATCCATAAAGGAAATTCATGCACCTATGATTCAAGCTCATAACACGTTGCAACAAGTTAATAGAACCTCTCTCGTATCTCCAGTTTAGCATGTGTAGATATGTGGAATATGGATATTACCGGTTGGTGTAGAATGTGGGTCAGAACCGCGCGTTGCACAGACACAGACAGCGCTCGTGCAACATGAAGCATAGCATGATTCCTTGATAATTTATACACAAGATAAGACCATGTTTTGAAAGGGCACATACAAGAACAGTATATTTCAAACTTAAAGATCCATGCAAGGCCTTCAAGGGCAGCTTGTAGAATGATGTCTATGTTTTTAAGATGGTGTCTCTTGCCGACGGCATACGCAGAGGTGGGAGGAGTATTCCGTCTTTGCGTATTGTAGAGTTATCTTCTCTTGGGAGCAGGTATTCATTGTTACGTCACTTGTTTGTGAGAGTAACGTCATCAATTTTTGAGAAAACGACGTAATTTTCTCACACAAACCAATGACGTAACAATCAATTCCTGCTCCCAAGAGAAGATAACTTTGCAATACGCAAAGACGGAATATATACAGGGAGGTTTGAGGGACATTATATAACTATGAAACTCGTTAATGCATTTATTCCTAAACCGTTCTACCACCCTCACCTTGATGCGTTACTTTCACTACATGGGGCGATCACACGATTACCTACCTTTGCTTCATGTGCACGTGTTACACAAGCCATTCTTTTACCGGTTGATTCTGTGCTAATGCTTGCGTACGGACCATCGTCGTCTGAAAAAAGGCAGGGCAATACTGTATTGACTCCGAATGGTGATGGGGGTGGCGTTCAGACAAAGGATAAGAGTTAACAATAATAAAGAGACGGTGTCCATGTGGTAAGGGCAGTAGTAGTAGTTGGATATGTTATACTGGTTAATATTGCATGCTCGTGTCATAATTTATTTGATGCAATACAGCTCTTGTATATATACATGCGAGGTGTGAAACGCTATGCAGTTGAATATGAATCGATTAATATATTTTCATTTTTATGCACATTAGTATATATCAGATTAATATTAATTCAAACGAAAGCGAAAGACCGATATTTTCACTTCAGTCTTATAGCTTACACGATAACCACGCAGTTACAATACAGACACAAGGGTCACGACAGCCAAACAGTTTCATGATGACCACAGTTTCACGAAAACCATAGTTTCATAACAACCACACAAATACATGACAACCACAGTTTCATGACGACCGAGGTTACGTGACCATCACGCTTACATGAAACCAAAAAGTTAAATGACAACCACAGATGCATTACTACCACAGTTAAACGAGAGCCACACATTTTCCTGACAAACAGTTTTCTAATAGCCATACATACACATGACAACCACAGTTACACGAGAGCCATACAAGTACATGACAACCAAATCTACAAGACAACCACATGTGAAATAATACGTAATACTGAACATCATTTGTCGTCGTTCCGTTTAAATCTGACATTTTATCAACCGTCAAGAGTCAAGATTTATTAAAAACAACAGTTTTCTTCCCTACTGTGATATTCAATGGTTAATATTGAGTTTTCGTGACCAGGTTATAAAGGAGACACACACGTCACACGGTGGCGGCTTCCCAGCATACAATTTCAGTTCTGAACTCATCAACCTTTACCTCCTTTACCTATTGATATTAGCTGTGCCTGTTTGGGTGCAGGGGGCCTCGCCGGTCCAGGCGGTGGGGATCGTGGACCTCCCCCTCCCCCAGCTGTTTTAGGAACACTTGGAAGTGGCTGCCGAGCACGTGTTCCGCCTGCTCCTGCGTTTTGGGCATTAGACTGACTTGTCTTTCTTTCATAGTAGCTTACATACGGTACTCTCTCTGGCAGGGTTTAAACAAAACAATGAATGAAACTCGATTCTTACAAATTCTGACAAGTGAACATTTTAACTAAAATATGTTTTCTTATTTTATATACTGCGTTTCTCCAATTGATTTGCTCTATTTGTATAAACCATGCTTTATTTCATGTATGTAATCATAATTAGCTAGACGCTTTAAATAATAAGCTAAAACATGATCGCATTAACAGTTTCTGTAGTTTTCTTTTAAATACATATTGCGTACAATAATTCATTAAAGCCCTCGTTGTTAACACAAACAAAAATGTTGATAATGTAGTAACAGCTACATGTCTTACACTCACAATGTTAAGTTATTCTGTTAGACGACTTAACCTAAGTATGTAAATCCACTCACCTGGGTGATCCTTGCCCACTCCATAGTTATCTATGAAGGCCTGTAAATCAGTTTCTATTTCACACTTTTCCAGTACATTTCTTACTTTCTCTGCACACTGGGTTGGATTAGAAAAAAGGTATAATACTGTGTTTCGAAAACAACCTCGTATCTTGTATAATTCTGCTTGTGCTTTCCTCGGATCATAGGTAAGTGTCAAATTGATAAAAAACTAAAATTGTAGCGAATAATATTAAGTGATTATATAAATAATGTTACAAGTCTGTTTTGGGTTTCTTGTGTGTACACTTTGTGAAGATATTTTAACATATGTTTATACATGGATGTTGTTGTAGTAGAATTATCCCCTGTTCAGTAACGAAATGACAACGTAGCGCGGTTCTCCTTAGAGTTGCCCTATTCGATATGTTTTCTGCAACTATTATTCAAAACAATGTCACACAAGACTGCATCGTTTCTCTTGTTTTCTGAATTGGATAAGAGGTTGGATGTTTCCGTTAATTTCAGACCATAAAAGCTTTCTCAAAATTGGTAATTACCGAAATTTATAAGTAAATAAAACACTTAGTAAGTACTAAGCCATGGACATTATTAACTTGTAAGACGTTTCATAAAGAAAAAACATGTTCCAGCTTAAGCAGTTGGCGACCGAGCTAGGCTTTGTTTGATTTCAGATCAACATGAAAATACCGAAACGTGTTCCGGACAATTTTACATTCTGTTCTGAGGAGAGACAAAAAACCAGCTGATGTTGAATGTATCTAGTAGATGCACACGTGGAATAACGGAGGAAAATGATCACAGTGTTTAGTACTGATACCTACTTGATCAGAAAAGAACAAAATTATGAGTGAGTGTGTCTTACATTGTCCTGTGTCACACACGCCTCGGAGTCGACGTTGGTGATCTTCCACAGTATGTTCCGTGTTAGAAATATACGCTCCTCCTCCATCTTCTGGAATTCCTGGAAATAGACATGTGTTTGTTACCGAAATTAGCACGTGGTGTTGTCACATTTATAGGTATGGTAATATCTTGCTTATATATAAGTGCAATTAGTCAATTTATTGATATATACATATTACTAAACCATAATCTTATCTTTGTCCACATAGTTATTACTTTTGCCTTGTTTGCAATGGGTTTCATATAACCTTTATACAAAAAAAATGAAACTATCGAAAGTAAATAAACCAGTATTCGAACTATGTAACACACGATTGTTTTGTGATATCAAAGTTATATAAACTTTACCCAAAACACAGAAAAATAAGATATAATTCATATACATTTTCGTCATAAATACAAAACCTACCACACACGTCTCTGTCATGGTTAATTCCCATGCTCTCCTCGCTCCCTCCAGTGTGTCTAGAGAACTTTTATACGCCGTGTCTGAGAAATTAGAAAACAAAGTTTTGCTATGTAAATGATCAAGTCTGCAACAAACTAAGATGACTTCATCCTCCTAAGAACTTGTGGAGATATAAATGAGTAAATGTTAATTGGAACTCTTCACCACTTTAGAGAGGAACTAGCTGCTTAGATACACACCCGACACAGAGATCCTGAAAAACTTAGACTAACGTGATGGAAATAACGAGATAAACAAGCAATAACATAGAATTCAGTTAATCAAAGGATATCCAAGTACATTTAATTGTAATAACTAGAATTAAACCTATACCGGGGTGTTTGCAGTAATAA